AAGAAAGAAAGAAAGAAAGAAAGAAAGAAAGAAAGAAAGAAAGAAAGAAAGAAAGAAAGAAAGAAAGAAAGAAAGAAAGAAAGAAAGAAAGGTATCAATCTGATCTTGGCTTGTTCAAGATTACTGGGAAAATGTAGTGGAGAAGAGGAGATCAGCTGGAAGATTTCTACTTTCCTGCCACCTCGTTTCCAGAGCCCCGTGCTCCAGTGCCCGAGCCCATCCTGGGCACCGCCGGGGCAGGACACACCGCTGCCTCCCGGAGTAGTGAACTTCACTTCGTTGTAAACATATACATATATGTGCTTTGAATTTGCAAGCTTAGCACTGTCGCCTGGGGCTTGGGAAACTCGGGGTGAGCCCTTCCTCCGTTCGTCGGGTCCCGTTTTAAAGGGAGCCCTCGCTTTCCACAAGCAGGTCGTTCTGCAGAGTTACCAAAGAGCTTTCCCCGATGCATTTGTTTTGGTTTAGTTTGGAGTTTTTTAATCCCCTTTTTACATAAGTGTTGCACAGTTCTTGGACAACAGAGAAACTTCCCGGTCTCCCCCTTTTCCCCTCAAACAACCTCCTCCCAGACTCCACTGGGAGCGGCGAGGGCTATTTTGAAAGGTTTCATGCAAAACATGTGCTCTACTAAAAATAATACCATCGGTGCGATGAAAACAAAAGCAAACAAAACAAAGTCCAAAAACATGGCATACCGCCTGGCTTTGGGGAAACAGCTCCAACGCCGCTGCTATTCCCAGCCCACCGGCATCCTCTCCCCACACCTGCCCGCAGCTGGGTCAGAGGTGTTGAGGAGAAGAGGTTTGGGGTTCCCCCACTCCCCGCCCTGCAAAGCCCCAGTGAAAAGGAGGAAAGAAAAAGGCGGGGGGGAAGGATTCCCTCTGCTCTTTTCTCGCAGCTCCGCTGCTCCCCCACCTCGTTTTCCCGCTTCTCGGACCCCGGGCACTGCTGCTCCCGTCCCCCCCGTCCACCCACCCACCCGCCTCCTCCATCCCGGGCCCCACAAACTCGCTCCGGGCGTTTTTGCCATCACACCACGGAGAGAAAGTAGGTCACGGCTG